AATGAAAAAAATATACATATTTATCAAGCCCTCACAAACAATAATCAACAGCAACGTTAACATGAAATAATGAGGATTTACAAGTTTATGCAAACTAAATGACATGAAAGAACAGTGGTGCCTAGTTGAAAAGGTTCTGGGCATATTCTGAAGCACTCACGGAAGACGAAGAAACATTTTCCAGATTAATGACAAAATGAATATGAATCATGGTTTTGAACAAAAGGGAAAATGAACACTTTCAACATGAAGTCACTCAGTTTTCAAACTCCATGCAGTAACAGCTAGATTGCTACTTCTAATATGGTGTGAAGTGAATACACAAGATAGAGAGGAAACTGTCCAACACAGCAAGATTTATTAAGGATTCAAGGGAAGGCTTCAGGCAGGACAGTTCAGCAGTTACTGTTTTTTACTTGGCATCTTTGCGCAATTTTCCTTAGATAAGAACTTACAAGTGCTGTGGCTTTGATGGCTGAAATTAATTTCCTAGCTTGCAGAAAGGAGTCACTGGTGCCAAAAACCCTGAGTGACCTGTTACACCTTCACAGCTGATGGCAGGTTGCCACTTGCCATGAGAGCAGAATGGTGCTGGAGTGTGAAACTGCACAAATCAATCCTTTTATATGGTGACCTCATACAAAGGAGTAAGCTGTCATTACAGGAAGAAAAATTGCAGTAGAAGAATGAATCCTGTGTTTAATAGAACGTGCTCTTTTAAAGAAATGCTCTCTGCTGACTGTGTTAAAACGCTTCTCTGTTCCTATATCCCATGTTTGTTCCTTTTTGGCATCCAGGGCTAGCTGCTCTGGCTCTGCACACAGTCTCACCATTGTTGGTGTAAAAGGCCTCTCTTAAGGAGAAAATGCCATGAGAAAGACCCTTCCTGTATTCTTGCCTGACCAACTCTGCAGTTGCCTTCAAATATCTGATCAAAACCGCTTTCCTCCTTTCCTTTTGTCTTCTAGTTGCATTTCTTCTCTGCTATCAATGAAAGCCTAATTTATGTAATAAATCTCTAAGGTATTCTGAAATTCTGAATTTCATAACTGTGCCCACATAATTATGATATACAATGAGCTGCCTCACAATACTCGCAATCTTTAGCTTTCTGCCTTCCTATGTCCCCTTTCACACGACTAGGACTGGTTGGTGGCTGGTTAACAGAAGAAAAATTAAGCTATTGGACAGTAGCACAAATAATCAAAGTTCTTCAATGACTGTTGCACCACTTAAGCAGCAATTAGAACACTTGAATTAGAACACTTGAAGTGCTGTGGACAACAGTTGCAGTGATCACCTTCCAGACAGCAATACTTCAGCAGGTTCAGTAGCAGCATTTGAGGATAAAATTCAGGTAAGACCATCAGCTGCAATTGTGCTTTTAAATGAAGACTGGCACTGAACTGTTTTGAGCAGAATTGAGCAACAACATCTTCAAGCAATAACAAGACCTCCTTTTCCAAATGCCACCACTTATTACGTTTAAATAGTACTAGCATATTCAAAGATAAAATGAAAATTCCACCTGAAACATCTAATTCTCTCTGAAAGTTCTTTTGGGTAAAAGTAAATGACTTCAGACACTTCTGTAGCCAGACTGGAGTATCTTCATCAAAGCAGCTTTCCAACTTTGTTTGAACATTCTCCAAGATAGAGAAGAGCATTTGCAGATCTTATGGCTCTGAGAGAGCTGCTGCATAAAAGAATGAACCAGGCTTTAACATTCATGCAGCAATAAATGTACAATTAGATCGATATATCACCAAATTCAGAAGAAAGTATGAGATCACACATGGTTTAGAAAGAACACCTAACAGAACACAATCAAAATCAGGCATAAAAGCTCTCTCTTTTCCCTAGCTATACTTAAGGAGTTTTTTACAGCATTTCGTTTTGATAGTTGACTTCAATGGAGTATTTCCACTTCCTTTTATTGTCAAGGGCAGAGAAGAAGCAGGGAGTAATTTTCTACACTTCAGCAACAGAAAAGAGAAAATCTTGATTGGTGCTAGGAATCTCAGAAATGCACATAGTCATAGTTACTGTTTTCTATTTGCCTGATTTAATTGATGCTGTTCCACTCAAAGAGAGTAGGAAGGCCTCAATCCCACCATTCACGTGGGGATAAGTTTATTAGCAAGTTCCAGCAAAGTCTCCTAAGAGTAGGACAATTCTATCACTACATAAAACCAAAACTGCAAGAACAAAAGAATGGCCGAGTTCCAATGAAAATCATTAATCACATTTCTGTAGACAATGTAGCATAAATCATGCTTAAAAGAATAGTGAATTTATTTCAAACTGGTTATTTTCAGAAATCCAGGATAAAATAGCCATTTGTTACAGTATGGCAACTTGACACTCATTAGCGATAAGTACATAGAACTGTTTTCTTCCTAAGTTAACCTCCAGAGTTGAAACTTTAACAGCCAAATTACATTTCAAATTCCATGTGACCATTAGAATGAGCTAAATTGTTGCATAACATTAGCCGTTCTGTGTGTGCATGTGGTGATGCTTCAAGGGCACGTTATACATTAACACTTAACTACTGGATTCAGACAATTTGCTTTCCCTTGGTGCTTGTCAGGAGTACAAAACACAGGCAGTTTTCTTAATGCGCACATTCCTGTGTCTGGCCTTTCTCCAAAGCTTGAAAGGCCATCAAGGCAGTTTTCCTTCTTTAGCCTAAGTTATTTGCTATGCTGCTATTTAGTGAAAGAGCATAGTTTTCTGTGTCTCAAAAGAATTGGAATTTTTCACCTGTGTGTCTCAGTTGTATCCCTGCAGCATGTTTCCCTGTGACTGTGGGCAGTATAACAAGAATGCTGTCTTTCCAGCAGAAGGAATCAGGTATGAAATGTGGGCAGCTTTAGACAGGGGAGAACTGGCCACAACACCCAACTGCAACACAAACACCTTGCAGTAGGGCGTATTTTGATAACAGCTTCTATTACTTACATCTTCCTTCAGCATGTAATTCAGACATATCCTTAACAGGCAGCCCATGCTTTGTCCCACTGAAGTTTAGCAGCACCACTCAAATTCTTCTGGCTGGAGGAAAGTAGTATGAATCTAGCCAGTTTGGGGGTTGAGATCTGGTGTAACATCCCCTTATTAACTGAATTTTGGTCTCCTAATGCAAAAGGCTCCTAAAAAATTCCAGCTCAGAGGAGAACCTAAGCAGATTCTGAGGAGACATCTGACCCTTTTGGGTAGCTGATCCCAAGAAACACACACACAAACCGTTTAAGTACTTGGCTGAATCATGGCACAAACACAAAATACTTATGCTTAAAAACAACAGGCAAATAGACAAATAGATGGGAAGAGTTTCCTAGCATTCCAAGCTTTTGTTTAGAAGCCTCACAAAGCATTAGAAGAGTCAAAACACACCTTGATTTTTGTCTTATAAAAACCTATATTAACAAAAGTTTGAATGCATATTCTCAGGAGAACTGATGAAAAAATATTGTAGCTTCTTTTCCAAAGACAGTTTACCTATTATGGTGTGAGGAACAAAGCAGCAAAAAAGAACAAGGGGGAAATCCTCATTTTATCTGCTGTCCTTTTTCAGAGAAGCACTGCAGAAGGCTGCCTTATGCTATACTCTTTGATGCTGCCATAACCTTGCTCTCCCAGCTCACGAATCTGAAGTTTACAAAGGCTGATGTCCTAATAATATGCAATACATCAACAATAGCCAGTCTTCTAAAGGATATTTTTCTTGAATGGTTAACAACAAAAATCAAACCATGTCCTTCCCCCAAATATGATAGTTATCTAGTGGCTCTTAATCTATGGTAACAGGAGCAAGCACAGATTGCACAATGAATAAACTGTTTTGAATATTTAACTACTTTTCTCACAGACTTATCAATTATTTTACTGAAACTGATCAGTGAAATTGGGATGAGAGAAAAGATTACGAGGAGAGTGTGCAGCTGGAACTTTCAGCAACACCTGTAACAGAAATCTCTTTTCTACATTTTTTATCATTCTGCTTGGGGAATGCACCCAGTACATCTCCCTACTGCAGTTCTGGCAATGCCAACAGGCTGCAAGCTTAGCTACTCACTTGGGAATTTTCTCAATGTGAAAAATCCCTGAAGGGAAAGCTGCTAGGGCGTGCTGTGAGAGACAGTAATGAAGGCAAACAAGCCAGGATCCCTTCACAGCTCAGACAAACAAGCAATAGCAGATCTTGATCTCAGTTTACCTTTGCATGCTAGGCTAAGGGATGCCAATACAAGCGCAGATTTACGTGCACATCACATCTCCCTGATTAGCAGTATCCCTGAGAGGGCCAGGGAGCCAGCTGGGGCTGGTAACAGCTTCACACATTCAATTTTAATTGACTACTGCGTGCTTGTCAGATACCTCAGTGCTGCCTTCCTTCTGTTTTAACTTATGCCAAAAGCTTAACTGGTCCCAGTGACCACAGGGAACAAGCAGGTGAGAAGAACAGAACAACTGCAGGAACTGAACAAAGTCTATGCTCCTTTCGGAACTGCATTCTAGGTACAATCTGCTCTAAATTTCAAGATCATAGATCAACTATCACAGTTCAAGCTAATCTCTTAACCCACAATTATACATTAAAGCAGGCTTTGATTTAGAATAATTTCATTTAATTTTCATTTTCTGTGTCTATATTTAGAGTCCAAACTTTTCTCTCTGAAAATTCTCAGGAAATGCTTCAGTGAGATCAAGACTCTACTATTAACACCTACTGATACAGCGTTTAATGGTATAGAATCAATTAAAGTACTCAAAACAAACAAAAAAAATAGCCATCCAAATGAGTGACAACAGTATTCTCCTCAGTGTTTCTCTCCATATCAATAACAAATGTATAAAGTAAAAGTTTGACTGAAATTGCTCCAGACATGCATGCATAATTTCTCTTGTAACTCTTTTTAAAGCACGTATAAATAATTTTGCTGATAAATTGCAGACAGCATCACAGTTGAAAATTAGGTAATTATAAATTTTACCTCTGCTTTTATTTTATTGTCTCCAAAACAGAGGTGCTGTAAGTAGGCTGCAGCATTGGACTGTACTGATGGAAATTGATGCTGTAACATCTGTATAACTTCTGGAAGCTCTGGATCTCGCCATCCAAACTCTCTGTGAGAAAACAAATAAGAAAGACTCAACAAGAATTCTTCTACTAGTGGATGGATATATGTAGCAACAGTTTGGCCAACTAAGATGAAAAACATATCTAAGTTTTACTTTCCACTATTTTTAAAGTGCACATTTAATCATATATGAAAGGATTTTCTGCTCTAAATAGTACTAGTATGCAAAAAGTTAAATAAATCATAGCTAGAGTAAATAACTTCATGGAATTGTCTCTACATGTGAAAGTTCCTTAAATAAAACATCATATAAGAACAGAATAATCCACACCATTATACAGCCTCTATTAAAATCAAAGTATAGAGTACTAGAATCATAACTCTGAATGGTTTGCTAAGAAATTTTGTCAGGAAGTCTTTTATTTATTGCAGTCTTTACTTTATAAAAATTACTATCTCATATAATTAGTGATTACCTATTTTGTCTTTTGATTTGTTGTTTTCAGATATAGCTCAAGCTTAATGGTAAAAATTTATATGATACATCATATAATACATACAATTACACAATTTTACATATATTACAGTTATACCATACACAATACATGGTTATGCATCTGATTACTTTTAAATCTTCATTAGTAATACTCAGTCTAAAGCAGATGATAGGCAAATAACAACAACTCAGCCCATGCACTGTCTTTTATTGCTATGAAGCATGATACGCCATTAACATTGAGTGAAACAATTGATTACAAGTGTGGTGAACAAGCATCAGCAGGTTTTCTGCTGTTTCCAGAACTCAAAATCAATTTGTCACTTACGTCATTTTTTCCACTGTGTCTACAGCTAAAGGCAGCCATCAAAACGGCTTTTGCCTTTGTGCCCCAAAATCCATGCAGCCACTCTGCACGAGACAGCTGAATTCCTCTGTGCTTTAGAATCACAGAATCACCAAGGCTGGAAAAGACCTCCAAGATGACTCAGTCTAACCATCCACCTACTGCCAATATTTCCCCGCTATTCCATGCCCCTCAGTACAGCATCTAAATGTTTCTTGAACACCTCCATGGACAGTAGCTCAGACGCCTCCCTGAGCAGCTTGTTCCAGAGCCTGATCACTCTTTTGAGAAGAAATTTTTCCTAATATCCAATCTGAATCTCCCAAGCACGGCTTGAGGCCGTTCCCTCTTGTCTCCCATGCTAGTTATGTAGGAGCAAAGGCCAATCTCCACCTGGCCACAACCTCCATTTACACAGTCGGAGAGAGTGGTAAGATCTCCTCTGAGCCTCCTTTTCTCCAGACTGAACAATCCCAGTTCCCTCGTCCATTTCTCATAATGCTTGTGCTCCAGACCCCTGACCAGCTTCACTGCCCATCTTTGGATACATTGCAGTGCCTCAATGTCTTTCTTGTAGGGAGGACCCCCAAACAGAATACAGTACTCGAGGTGTGGCCTCACCAGAGCTTTGTACAGGGGGATGATTACCCATCTCCCTGCTCTTGCTGGCAGCACTATTTCTGATACAATTGTGCCAGGATGCAAGTGGCCTTCTTGGCAACCAGGCACACTGCTTTTGTGTCATACAAATATTTTTCATCATCTTTCATCTAGTGCTATAGTACAAAGTAATACAGGAATACGGTTCTTATGCCTTAGAAACATTGGTCCCATTTGCCCTTTAAGATGGAATGGGAGATACGACGCCACTTCAACTTCAGCATTCAGCTGGGGTCTCTACTTAGAGCACTTGGGAACCCTAACCTCTTGCATCTTCATGAAAGGCACATAAGATCCTCACTGGGGTTTAATTCAGTGCAAGCAGCACTGAATTCCCACGTTGTTTATTTCTATCCAATGGAGCCACCACGAAGATTACATACCCCATTTAGGTATGCAAAGGTTAGGTATGTAAAATTAGGGCAAAGGGTCAAGTCCCATAATCTTGTGAAAATGACTGCAGGTTCTTCACTGCAGTTACCGTAATCACTTGTGGGGTTCATACAATACAAGAACTGTTGCAAAGTCCATCTCTTTGAAAAAAATATTTGTTATCATTAGTTTCCTTCCTGAATTATGAGGATTCTGCTGGGCTGAGGCCAAGTGCACATCACTGGGGGAATTGACCTATTTGAATAAAACTTAGAGTAGGCAACTTCACAGGCTGTCTCAAGTAAATTCAGGCATCTCACTCTTCAAATATTACAGATCTCTGAGACATTTCATTGAAACAAGACTCATTTTACAGTGACAGTGGATTGCTATGGAACAGGTATTGTCTGTTCTTCTCTCACACAGGATGTTTGCTAGACTGAGAGTTATTATTATTCATATCTCTATAAAAAGATCTAGAATATAAGCAGGAGATGTACAAAAATAAGCATAGAATTTTATCTGCTATTTCTGTTCTGACAAAATTAATGTTAAGATGTATTAAATTTCACATCAACTGTTTAATATATAAAAAAAAACAAAACCAAAAAACCAAAAAAAACCACAGAGATGTAATGCAATACATTATGTGTAGGTATTTCCAGTGAACCCTTGGACAACACAGACTGTTGGGAAACTTCTCAAGGAGACCTGTTACATAGATTCAGAAAGATCTGAATCTGGTAGTGAACTGGTATTTTTGAAGTACAGAACACTGTAAAAGGTATCAGGGAAGCACAGAAACCTTGGTAGCTAATAGTAGGATAAGGACAATAGCTATGGACTAAACAATCCATTTGTATATATAAAGAGAGACAATATACATAAACAAATCACAGAAATGACACAGAGAATACGTATGTAATATAAAAAGGGTCATCTTCTTGAGGTGAACAACCTGACCCAGTTCTCACTGAAATACTGCCTCACAGTGCTGTGAGACTTGAGCTGCCTTCACTGAAGGGGTTTAGAAACTGAGCTGGTGCTTGGAAGGACAGGCAGCCCATCAGCTTGAATACTTCATTGGATGGCTCTTTTTCATTGCCTACAGAGGTGAGTGACAGAACCAGTGTTACTTGATGTGTTGGCTTCCTCTTATGCATGCTTTTCACAGTTAGGATGATACCTAGGCAGTAGCACATTAACAAGTTCTTCAACCACGTCAGTCTACATATATGGCTCTCAACCAAAGATATCATTCAGAAATTATTTTTACATAAAAATAAAACATGAAAGAAAAATCCAAACCCTGATGAGAAATTCATTATTCCAGCTCATCTTCTAATTTATTCTTGTTTAGATTCCTAGATCTTAACAGTGGGTGTTGGCATTTTAGGAGGAAGTTTTTCACTGAGAGGGTGGTGATGCACTGGAACAGGTTACCCATAGAGGCTGTGGATGCCCCATCCCTGGAAGCATTCGAGGGCAGGCTGGATGTGGCTCTGGGCAGCCTGGTCTGTGGTTGGCGACCCTGCACATAGCAGAGGGGTTGAAACTAGGTGATCATTGTGGTCCTTTTCAACCCAGGCCATTCTATGATTCTATGTTATGATTCTATTAGACAAAAACAGCTTGTAAGACAAGACAAGGAGTGGGAACATTCAAAAGCTTTTGCTTTAAACTAAGTAACTATACTTTGAAATGCTGAAACTTCTAACAGCAAATTGTCTCCAAAAAGGACAGAGGAGGCAATGAAGGGCAAAAGGAAAAGGTCCCTTAATCATTGGTCCAGTTAACTCATCTAATGAACCTGCAGATTTTACATGGTATGTATGCACATATGAAAACAAGGCTGTGCCCACTTTTTTTTCTCTCATCTTCCAGCAGACAATCTGATGACAAATAAACATTTGTCTGAATGTTTGTGTGCACAATGGACTTAAGTGGAAAATTAATTCAGAAAATAAACTTTTAACACAGAACTCATTATCAACAGATCATATTATCAGTTATAGGAAAGAGAATGAACAAAGCGGAAAAGAAGTTAAAAAAATTTAGCTGCAATATGCATTGTCATTTCAGGCAGATGGTCTCTTAAAATTATTATATTTTAAGTAGTTTCTAAATGAATGATGGTAGCTATTTAGAACAAACAAAAATTTCTGTCAACAGTTAAGGGCGCTTGAATAATTGCAGTATTATAGCAGCCTTCAGGGCAAGGAAGAGTAACTTCTGGGAGTTTATACTTTTCAATTGTTTTCTTTTTAACATTCTGAGTAGGAAGAAGTGAGCTAGAGATGGAGAGTTTTTAGAAAAGCAGGTCTGCAGCTCTAATAACAAAATTTACTTTGAGAAAAAAACCTATATATTTCGAAATTCTCCTTAACTATGAAAAGTTAGGAAGGCTACTTAAAGTCAACCAGACAGAGGCCTTGGGAAGGAAGGACTGGAATTTCTCAAAGACAAAGGTAAAAAAATACCTGGAATATTTTGCATAGATGTGAGGAGCTTCCAGGCCATGGCCTCACGCATACCCAAAGCTAATTAAAACGGAGAGCTGAACTAAACTAAGAGACAAACTGCTAGGGATAAGAAAATAGACTGTGAAAGTCAAAAGTTAGAATAAGCTAGGTTATATCACAGAAAGATAAGTAAAATTAAATAGCAAAACATCATTTACTGACTACAGTGAAAAGCAATATTACAGTCAATACCTGATGATTAGAGTCAGATTAAAGGAAGGGAAAAAGAAAATGAAGATCAGATCCATCTCTACTTCTGTGAAATATCTGATACTGTGCCACACAGAAACTAGTTCAATTGGCAACAAATGAGAATCCAACTCCTAGTAAAAATATTATAGCAGAATTATGGAAAATTTGAAACTGCAGGGAGTAGCCTAAAGAAACACTACCTAGCTATTTGTCATTTACCAACTGCTTATGAAAGGTGAGAGAGGAAATGCACATAGATGGTGAAAAAAGTCAGAAGGTTGGAGTAAATCAGAGATGTGTGGTGTGCAATTTTTGAGAATTCTATCAAATTATCAGTGCAGTCAATCAAAAAATGAACAGTAAGCTAGAATATGCATTGAAGATCTTCTGCTACTGCCTGTGTTTCCCTGGGAATGCAACCTCTATGCAGCTATGGGCAGCTAAAGGCTTCTGGTGGT